GCACCTGGTGCACAGGTAACAGCCCAGCTTATAGACTGAGACAGACTAGGAAGAAGGAAGAGGCCGTCCACTTCTCAAAGAATTAGCCAGGGAAAACCTTATGAATAGCAAAGAAACACACCAATGTTTATCATACCACTATTCACAATAGCCAAAAGGTGGAAACAATCTAAATGCCCATCAATAGCTGAATAGATAAACAAAATGTTGCACATATATATGATGGAATATCACTCAGCCAGTAGGAGAAATGAAGTCTTGACACATGCTATGGTATGGATGGAGGGTGAAGACATTATACTTAGCAAAATAAGACAATCACAAAAGGACAACTATAACATGACCTCACTTATATAAAAAGACAAGAAAAGGCAAATAAATGTAGAGAGACCGAAGTTTATTAGTGGTTACTAGGAGAGGGAGAGAAAGGGAAAAAGGGGTTAATGGTGACAGAAAAATCACATCAATTAAGGGTAGAGTTGCACAGCCTGTTACTGTAATTGCTGTCAATAAATTGTACAGCTGTAAAAAGTTGAATTGGCAAAAGTTGTGGGATGGATACATTTGTAACAATGACCAAAAAAAAAAAAAATGGGGGGGTAGCTGCTGAGGCTACTCATGGGATTTGCTTCCTTGATTGGAGGCATAGGGTCATGGTTTCATGGGACATCCCAGTATTGGCCTAATAACGTGTTCAGTGCTTCTGTTCTACCTCCTAGTCCACTGTGTGGTGCCTAGGGTCTTAAAAGCTTGCAAGCAGTTATTCAAGGCATAACTATTGGTCTCTATTCACCTGGAACAACAGAGGAAGAAGGAGAGTCAAGAATAGGAGGAGAATATGTATGGTGTGGCTAACTGCCTCCAGAAACAACTGCCTTGTTTGCCATGAAATCAGAAGAACTGGAGGGTGCCCAGCTACCATACTGAGCATTTTGATTAGATTCCATAGAAGAATCCTGATCAAAAGTAGGAAAATGCAGAACAGAATTTCAAATTCTCATGGGGACTCAACTTTCTGTAGCCATGGACAATGGACGAACCTTTGAAACTATTGCCCTGAGATAATCTTTAAACCTTAAACCAAAAATATTCCCTAAAGCCATCTTTTAACCAAACAATAGTTTAGCTTAAGAAGTTTAAAAAAAAAAAGAAAAAAGTCTGCCTTGATCAGTGCCCTCTTTTAAAAACAATCTATATGTCACTAAATGGTACAAGTAGGAACTGTTGGACTGTGTTTTGCTGTGTATATCCTCAACAACAATAAAATAGATATAGGAAATGAACTGTTGTTGTTGTTGTTATGTGCTGTTGAGTCAGACCTGACTCACAGGGACCCACTCTTGGGTTTCTGAGGCAGTCTCACTATGGAAGTAGATTGCCCAAACTTCCTTCTGAGGAGTGGCTGGTGGGTTTGAACCACCAGCCTCCTGGTTAGCAGTCAAGTGCCATAGGCACTACTCTACCAGAGTATTTCTTTCTCTGATACTTTATTAAGTGAATGTTGTTGTATGTGCCGTTGAATCAGCCCCGACTCATAGCAACCCCTCCTTGGGTTTCCGAGGCAGTATCACTACGGAAGTAGGATTGCCCAACCTTCCTTCCGAGGAGTGGCTGGTGG